TTCTATTCTATTCTATTCTATTCTATTCTATTCTATTCTATTCTATTTGATGCGATTCGATCCGATTAATACAAGCCAGACGTTTCTGTTTCAAATGTAGGAAAACGTAATGTAAATCCTGTTATTGGCTCCAAGATGGCAGCATGTTTCCACAGTCATCTGACTTCCTGTCTCGCTGTGATTCATGATGATGATGATGATGGTGATGAACCTCTGTGTTTAGATGGCCATATTTCTGGGAGCGGTGGTGGACGATGACTTCCTCCCTGGAACAGCTGAGGTGCTCCTCAGCAGGAAACAAGTGCTGCAGGTTCCAGTGCTGATGGGAATAACTAACCATGAGTTCGGCTGGATTCTGCCTCAGGTTGCACCCGATAATCACTTATTTATCAGAAGTCAGTGATAAATCCACCCCACCTGGTGTTAGTAACATTTCTGACCTGCTGTTTGATCTCAGAGCTTCACTCCACCCGGATGGGAGGGCGGGATGAACCGGGACCTGGTCCTGACTATGTTGAACATGTTTAATCCTTCAGGGGTGAGTTCATAGGTGGGTTCAACCCTCCTGCTGCCCTTGGGTCAAAATGAGCCATCGGTCTTAACAATGAGGCTTTTGCTCTGAAAAATCCAGTTGAAATTAAACAATTTTTTTTCCTGTTTAAAAAAAGACAGATGGAAAGAGGTTTGAACCTGGATTTTCATAGTAAAGCTCATGGTTACTCTTCAAAATAAAAGTCTTTCAGAGTGTAGCTTGGTATAAAGCCACAGCTTCCTGTTGGTGATGTTAGATAAAATTAGCTGTAAAAGTTTTACTTCATAGTGATGAGAACATATTCTTCATGGAGAGCAGGCTTGTTAAAGAAGCAGGAAGTCAGCCATCTTGTCATGAAGGTGTCTGATGTTTGAAGCTCCACTTGTCCTCCAGATGTCTTCAGTCAACAACCTCATCGCAGACGAGTACCTGAAAGACGCTAAAACTCCAGAGGAGGTCAGGGACAGCTTCACGGAGGCCATGGGAGACCTGCTGATGACGCTGCCTGTGGTCAAGGCGGCCGGATACCACACAGGTAACCACAGATTATACATGACAGATTACACATTATATGTTACTCATTGCACGTTACACATAACGTGTTACACATTACACGTTACACATTACAGATTACATGTTACAGATTACAAATTACAAATTACACATAGCACATTACAGATGACACATTACAGACGACACATTACAGATTACATGTTACACATTTCAGATTACACATTACAAATTACACATTATAGATTAAACATTACAGACAACAGATTACGCAATACAGACAACAGATTACACAATACAGACAACAGATTTCGCAATACAGACAACAGATTACGCAATACAGACAACAGTTTACGCAATACAGACTACAGATTAAATGTTACAGGTTAAAAATTACAGAGTACAAACAACAGATTACACATTACAGATTACCGGTGCATGTTAAAGACAACAGATTACATGTTACACTTTACTGATTAATCCCACCCCGTCTGTGTCCAGACGTGGGCGCGCCGGTCTTCATGTATGAGTTTGTGTACAGAGCAGACTTGCACCAGAACCACAGGCCCGGCTTCGTGAAGGCGGACCATGCAGACGACATTGGCTTCATGTTCGGGGGATTTTTCTGGAACGGACACATTAAATTCACCGGTTTGTTTGTTTCATAAAAACATTTTACTTTACAAACACGTAAAATGTTCAGATGAAGTCAGTGTGAACTAACAGCTCCTGTTCTGTCCTCAGGGAACTTCAGTAAAGAGGATGAAAGGTTCTGTCGAACCATAATGTCCTACTGGGCCAGCTTTGTCCGAACTGGGTCAGTAAAAACATTTACTAACATTAAAACACAGTTCCTCTGTGAACCATGGTGAACAAGGTGAATGCTGACCATAGCTGCTGGATATACAGAAAAAGTGTTTGTTTACCTGCAGAAACAGCCAAAATGTGTTTGTTTCCATAAAGAAACAGCAGAAATGGGTTTGTTAACTTCTAGAAACAGCTGGTGTTTGTTTCCATAAAGAAACAGCTGAAGTGTGTTTGTTTACTTCCAGGAAAATCAGTGTGTTTGTTTACCTACAGAAACAGCCAAAGTGTGTTTGTTTACCTGCAGAAACAGCTGACCTGTCTCCCCCCCACCCCCCGCATAAACAGCCAAAGTGCATTGGTTTACCTACAGTAACAGCTGAAGTGTGTGTTTACTTCCAGGAAAAGCAGAGTGTTTGTTTACGTACAGAAACAGTTGAAATGTGTTTGTTTACTTCTAGAAACAGCTGGTGTTTGTTTACATAAAGAAACAGCTGAAGTGTGTTTGTTTACATAAAGAAACAACAGAAATGGGTTTGTTTACTTCTAGAAAAAGAGGAAGTGCATTTGTTTACATAAAGAAACAGCCGAAGTGCATTTGTTTACATAAAGACACAGCAGAAATGGGTTTGTTAACTTCTAGAAACAGCTGAAGTGTGTTTGTTTCCATAAAGATACAGCAGAAATGGGTTTGTTAATTTCTAGAAACAGCTGAAGTGCATTTGTTTACATAAAGACACAGCAGAAATGGGTTTGTTAACTTCTAGAAACAGCTGAAGTGTGTTTGTTTCCATAAAGATACAGCCAAAATGGGTTTATTAACTTCTAGAAACAGCTGAAGTGTGTTTGTTTACATAAAGATACAGCCAAAATGGGTTTGTTAACTTCTAGAAACAGCTGAAGTGTGTTTGTTTCCATAAAAATACAGCCAAAATGGGTTTGTTAACTTCTAGAAACAGCTGAAGTGTGTTTGTTTTCATAAAGATACAGCCAAAATGGGTTTGTTTACTTCTAGAAACAGTTG